TGCCTTTTTTGAAATAGTCGGAGGAATTTAGAAAAATCCAGAGAAGTCATCTTACGTCTTTATACCATATTATGGTTTGACCTTTCAGATAACATCCACAGTTTAGGGCTAAAGTAACTAATACGAACATGACAAATGTTGAAGAACTAGGTTTGGTTTAGAAGTTTTTTTCGCACCCCTGATGAGAGTGTGCGACACCTTGAGGAAGGAGCATTGGGAAAATCAGAAAGTGCGAACCTAAAACGCTAGCCAATGTGGTTAAGTCTGTCCATCAATGTGTTATGGTTGCCGAGAATTTTTGCTCTTATAGAGAAGTATTTCTTAAATTATTTGGTGTCCCTTTACCACTTTATTTTTACGTACCTATTACCGGGTGATTCATTAGAAGTGAGGACAATTTGAATTTCCCGCAAATCAAAAAAATTATGAAGTTGGTACTAACTGATGATCATTTATCTAATTGCAGTGGTGTATCATCATGCTTTCAGTAAATCGTTTACTTATTTATAATCTACAAATACTGCTTCTGTTTTACCACAAATTATAAACTAACAGTAGACACAGTCACGTTTCTTACATTCTTAAATGACAGTCATGACAGAAAAAAATTACTAACGAAATTCAAACCGTCAATCTAATAATGCAAAAAATACTAAAACCTTACGCGCGAAATTCAAGCGATCATCACTTCTAATCAATCACCCGGTATAATATAACTTGTATACTGGTATAACTTTATTTTTTCAAGATCTTGGCTTCCTTTTTCCCCTTGAATCATTCTTCTTTACAACCACGTTGGTCACGTCCTTAAGCGGAGTGTATTTTTGAAGTCCAATGTGGGTTTAATTGAAAATGTTGCTACAGGTGAACTCAAATTTGTTAAAGCATTACATTCTAGGGCTTGATTATGGCATTTGCCAAAACATGTCGCCATTGATTATTTATACCTTTGTATAATAAATGAAATTGATGGGGAAGGTTTTGTGATCTTTGTTCCGGATTAGTATTGCCATACCATTTGACAATCGTGTCCTTAAACGCACAAAACGTGTTTCCTTACCAGAACCTGAACCTCAATTAAAGTTTTTCCGAATGTTCAAAATCCAATTTGTCGTTTTGGAATATGATTGTTTGACATTTTTGTGGTAAAAGGATTTCCAGTGGGTGTGATTATCCTGGTCGTAATTTGCGCTGGGTGTGCACAGTGCCTACTGGGTATGACTCTTGGGTATCAATAGTCCTGGATATAAATGGCAAGAAATTCCCTATTGTCTACCTATTACTGAAAACCAAGCTGGAAACAGAATTGAAAAATTCGAAACCGTTCGGGAGTTATCTTGTCCACAGACGGACGGACAGAAAGTCCAAAATCATGAACTCGCTTTTTGTTGTCGCTTGTTCGTGGGGGGTTGATCGTCCTGGTTTTGATTCGCACTGGGTGTGCACGTTCTGAGTTAAATTGATCCTTTTGACCTGGATATGCATTGGTCTCGGTTATTGTCTCCAGATACAACCTGTATCAAGCGATTTCAGTTTAGCAACAATATTTGGTCTTTGTTTTTAAATAGGCAGAGTTACAGCCAAGGCTACTTTATCAACCCAACCCATTATACTTTTACAAATATCCATGCCCAAACCCGGATTCGAACTAGGGACCCTTAGAACCGCAATCGAGCTTCCACGCCCATTGTGTCATACAGGCCGCATATATTTCAACTTCTTAGTAAAATCAGAACTGCCATTAAGCGGCGGTCTTATTTAAGCGTCCGCTAGAAACCACTTTATGTGTAATGAATACGTTTTGAGTTAAATGGGTCATTTCGATTGCGGAACGACGAGCAGTCCTTAATATCTTTTAAGCAGAATCTTCCGCTACAAACCAGGATGTACCTTCAATGACTAGAGGGTAGATTTGGAGGCCATTTGTTTAAGGTATTTTTTTTTACTATTTGTATTCAGTACGAACCGTTTTACTTTAAGCATGTGGTACGGTTAGAATTTTGATATTCGGAAGATTCGGTTTAATCATTTTTGTATAAAATTTAAGGTTTTCAATTCGTGTGAAAAGAGAGATATTTCTTATTTTTCCGTTATTTATTTAAGAGGGTCAGTTAAATTAGTAAAATTGAACGTGGTTAACATAAGATTGATTTGATGAATACAGTAGAGAAGGGTTGAAATTGATTAATCTCCCTAAATTTCAGTCTACGCCAATATTTTTCATTCTGTGTATTTAGTTTCGAGTCGATCCGAGTGTTTGAAGGTGGAAAAGCACAGTTGAATTGGATGAAGATAATTATAGTAAAGTTGCTGTAGATGTAGATTGGGGAATAGTATATTGAAAGACAAGTGTTACAATGCGACCTATTGTAATACGACTATCTTGTGGCACGAGTGGCGTAGCGAAGCGGAGCCACGAGTGTCCACAAGATAGGAGTATTAGAATAAAGCATTGTAACACGTGTTTTTCATACAATTTTTTCTATTTCGGGACTTTAATTTAATTAAAAAGTAATTATGAAAAACTACAGGAAACTTTAGAATTAATATGTCTTAAGTTGGCAACACCATTTACGTTGACAAATTTTAAGTTGGCAGCGTAGATAAACACAACACTGACATTTGGAAACTTTAAATTCCGTAAATGTGTAATTTTTTATTCGTAGATAAATTTATTTATGGTGGATGTGTAAACTGCTGATTTGGAATGTATTAAGTTCTTCGTGTACCAAAAATCAAGGAAAACACATAAATTTTACGTAATTTGATTTCACATCTGATGATTTGACGTTGACGTCTTGACGAACTACCAACTTAGAGATGAAAAGTTACCAAAAACAATGTTACAATGGAACTCATTGAAACACTGTTTTTGCCAAAAACAGTTGCACAAAATTCTCATTGTAACACCGAAATAGAAAAAAAAATTTACTTTACCGTAAACAGTCAAAATTTAAATAAAACGTTCAGGAAGGACCCCATCTTGAAATGACGTAGTTAGAGGGTAGTGTAACAAAGTTCTTAAACAATTTTGCTGATGGTAATCCAACGAATATGTAAATCTACGTATATATTACCCTAGTTCTAAAACGGCTAGAGAAAATATGGTGGTTGGTGGTACTAGTAGAAGTTATGACTAATTAAATCTCTGGATAGAAAAAAACGAATATCGAGGAAATGGTTTCTGAAATATGTCAAAAAATTTCTAAGATTGATGATGTGCAAGTTCATGCCGATGCGAAATTTAGAATGAATATTACAAAAGGAAAAACGGTTCAGATATACGTTTTTTATCGACATAATCTTCAACTAAGGCGTATAGCAATTATGCATTCGAAACAAGGCCCATTTAAGGGGGCGATAAACATAAAATAAAATAAATAAATAAATAAATGAAGTCAAAATTCAGCGGGCACGGTACCCGATGGTGTACCTATATGTGTACGCAAATAATAGGAAGCTAGGAAAGATACAAATGAAAGGATGATTTTTTTCACGAAGCTGATACTCATCTAACGGTTAGTCGGTGTGTGAACACTTTTTTTTGGTATCACTAAAGAAGTGATTTAATCCTGCAAAATTATTATTATAGCTGGTAATTTTAGCGATAAATGTAGTCTACAACATAATTCTGGTTTAAAACCGGAATGATCAATAAACAAACTTATTATGCTACAATGATTTAACACGATCTTTGCATAAAGCTTGTACAGCTCATATTTGACAGTAATCCTTATAGATCGCACGTAAGCCCATAGCGAAAAAACCGAAAGATTTAAGCATGATTAGTATTAAATTTACATTAGCCCGAGATTCCTATAACTGTATCTTATAAAACACAATCATCGCGCTACTATAATAAGCATTGAGGAGCGTTTGTTAGGTGTTCACAATTAATTTTTTTTGAGGTGGTACTAAAAATTGATTTAAGATCGATTTCGAAAATAACGCGCAAAATAATTGAAATCATGTTCTTTATATCCCATAACATTGTGCTCGCGTTTCAATACGAAACGGTTCCGTTTTTGTGTACAGATACCATCATTAATCATTAATACAAGTACCTACATAATCGGGCTGTATTAGAATTCAAACACGTTTCTTACCTAAAGAAACGTCAAAGTAATAATGAAGTTCGTTAAATTCAATGACAATAACCCTTAGCTCAGATTTACGTCCTCAAAATAAAAAGTTACATGGTTACTCATCGCGTTAAACATAACAAGCTTAAAACAACAGTCCATCTCGAGTAATTTCATGTTAACGATCTTTATACAGAGCTATAACGATGTGAATGGCTTCTAACTAAGTAGATGTAGTTAAAGTGATCGTTAAGTTTAGACTGAAGGGTTATGGCTTTACTAGCCACTGGCAATTAGCGAGCTTAATGTGTTTAATAATTCTTTAGTGATTGATTAGGATACTACATCAAATATTATAACTTCTATTTTGTTCTATGTTAATCGCGTAAGTAATGATTTTAAATTAACCGTTCATAAATCTAAACCAATATTAAAACTGAATTTTTACGATGTTTCATATGGCAGCACCTAAAGATGTAGATATCTTCCTTAAAAAATGTATGTTAAAAATTTTACGCGGTCATTATTTATGGCCGATCTTTACATAAATATGTTTTAATTACGTAAAAAAGTGTAATTATAGGGACAAGGCTTGCTGGCAAGTAATAATTATTAATTAGTAAATGAAAACGTCAAGCTAACTAAGAATAAAACAGTGAACGAGATTCAATTGGATAATCACGTAAACATTGTACTCCAAGCGAACACAATACAGACAGACCGATAGAATAACTAATTATGTAGGTGCAGGGTACAGTTTGACCCCCCTTTGCGCCTATTTACGGTGGGGCGGCTCAATGAAAATGTATATCAGAAAACCCTATTATTATTCTCTGCACGAAATAGAAAAAATTTACATTAAATACTCTTATCTAGGTTGTAATATGGACATGATTAAACACAAGACAAGACTCGCCATTTACAGAAAAAACAAATTTATTTGACAAAAATCATTAAAATTTAAAATAAAAGGAGGACCTCAGGGCCAGGTAGACCATGTACCACGCAACGAGCGATCGATTAACAAATTAAATTTAAATAGTTCTAATTACCTTAAGTTAAATCACTTTACTTGTTGTTTACTTTGTCGTGAAGAAACTCCCTTTAACTGATAACTTGAGGACATTAAAGAAAGGCTTATCTTCAACGACAATTGCTCGATAATCACAGCACTTCGACTAAACTTCTTCGTATACGTGAAAACACGCCTCTGCTTAGCTCGACATGGCGTTCATTTTTATCACGACGTAAAAAAATACTTTTAAACTCTCTAGTTTCTCCTACATAACTTTACAATCGAACAAGTCCATCACCAACAAAGGTGCGATTCACGTCCAGTTTGCTTATTTAAATCATTTGACTAAAATTCTCTGCAAAAGGACCGATAATGGTAAAGGAATGGTGTGAAAACTTGAGTTTGCATACCATATTGGGCTTATGATGCTAATGCGTAGTACAATGCTGTCATTAGTCATGTTTCTTGTCTGCAGTTCAAAAGGGCCCATTTGATTTCATTGTTAACGATCTTCACATTACAAATTGGATACCTGTAAACTCGCAGATAAACACACACAATGGTTGTGTCGACAAAGTCTTACATTTTAATTTTATAATCGCTTTTGTGTACGTTATTTATGGCCGCTCATCGCAGATTACTCGGCAATCACGCCCGTCAAACCCACAATTAAGGAAGCTGTAAAGAGGGGCTTTTAACCATTATAATCGCTGCAAGCTCAAGCTGAAAAAGGATTTGTATTTGTAGCCTATAGAAGGCCAATATCTTTGTAAATAGAAATGGGAAGAAGGAAGCGAAAATTATAATGTAATTAATAGAACACAAAGGAATTTAGAGGGTTGTAAACCTTTTAGGCAAGTGACGGCAAGAGGTTCATTTGTTTGCGTAATAAAACATCGTTAATTGCCCAATGAACTTTTTATTGTATGGGCGAGAAAATTTGCATATGGATTTAGGTGTAATAAATTTCCCTGCGTTCGAGGCATACATCGACGGATATATTTAGATTTTTATGAGAATTGACGCTCTTTCAGGACCATATTATAATTCTGCTGCACTGGTATGTAATACGTAAAGTAAGGAACCTATTTTATGGTTTTATGGAATTGTCGTATGCTAATTCGGTTTCTGTCAGTTTTATGGCTCCTTCCAATTCGTGTATCGCTTACACGTGCCATTCATTTCGAACATCACATTTTTATTAACATATCTCCAGTATACCAGGTCATAATCTTTGCAGCGCTTCTGTATCTCAATCGCACAAAGGTGCTACTACTTTGAACGTGCAACTTATGATAACCAAATGAAGATTTTTAGTAGACCATCGCCTTCGCAATGTTTGATATCGCTATGTACGTTCAGAATAGTTTGACATTTCGTTTGATATACAGTTACTTTACAAGACAAGGTGCATCCCTGTCCATTCCTAAGCATAATTCTGCCGAATACGAAAAAAAGGTTCGCCACAACGCGTTGCCTCCCAGTATGGAAAAATCACCTCAAAAATTAAAAAAAAATAAAGGCATTTTATTGGAGAAAGCGCTGTATAAAGTGAAATAAAATAGGTACCAAAAAATATAACCCCTACCTCTCTCTTAATAATCTACCAAGAAGGTAAACATCCGTAAATACAGCATGCTACTACCTTTAATTTGCTAAGCTACTTCGGATAAAAAAATGTACTTTATCTGCACAAAAGCTGGGTACAATTTATGCTTGTTTAAACCAGGAAAGTGATCACTCGTCACACTACCCTGTTTTCAGACTCGGAGAGTAGGCTATTGCTTCATACAAAAGACGTAAACCGATTTTCGTCCAAGGTTGCTTCCCTTCTGAGGGAGTCCTTACCACGTGATATGCCTTGAAATAGTACAGAGATTATCCAAGTGGATGGGGTAGGACGATTGCGATGGTTGAGTGCATTTTTTCATTTCATTAGATCATTCTCTTCTCCTACTGTATTTTTGTAAGGACATCATCACTTAACAAAATGTACAGTACAAAAATGCAACGAGATGAATATATGACCTTACTAGTTTACCCGTTCTGCGTTGCTCTGATCTCAAAAGAAAGGAATTTGTATCATCTCAATTTGTATTGTCTCATTACTGAATCTTGTTCATTTTCAACGGGAAAATGTGAGAACCTATCCAATTATCAGTAGCCGAATAACAACATGTGCATAGAGGATCCAAGAGAACCTTCTGACGAAATAAGCAACAAAGACGAACCTGTAGAAAGGTAATCAATTTTGGCCTAGTTTTGTAAACCTGCTAATAGTAAAGTGATGTGTTTTTTGTTAAAAAGCTGAAGTTTATCTCTTTTTACTTATAATTTGTTGTAAAGTCAATCAATAAATCTTATATTAATATATCAAAGTAAATCAAAGAGTTTGTTGTTTGCATATTACATATTCTTATTTAGCTATTAATCAGTTAAAAACTTTGAAATAAACAATATGTTGTAAAATCCTCGACTGTGTACATTTTCACTTATTACTAAAACCTACAATTACCAAAGTGATTTAAATATTAGAGTTTTAATTTGTAGTTGAAATTAGATGCTATATTTATTTCACCTAAAATATATAGACACCTGACAGGAATATAGCTACCGCTCGGCGTTTTTAAGAATTTATAAAATAGTCGATACTTTCCGTTTCTATAACGAGATTTAAAATATTTGAGGTTAATTATGCAGAATCACAACTGTTGAAAATAAGTTAAAAAAATTATAAAAAGTGAGTGGAAAAGGAACAGGTGGCTGCTCAGCTTTGAAACCGGTGTCGCCGAATCAGATAATTAATATATTATTAACAAACAGATTCATAAACATTTAATTTGAACACCTCAATAAGTTAAATTAATTTATTAGTAGAACATCTGCATTACATTGGTAGGTAATATGCATAAAATCGCTTACACCTGAAACGTATTACTTATGTAACACTTTTCCCTTCCGTTTTCAAGGAGAGATTTGCTGTCAACATCTTGTTAAAGCAATTTACATAAAAGTGAATTAATTATAACCATTCACGGAATTTTACGGAGATTAAAGAGAGTCAACAAAAAATCCCATCTATCTTATAATGGTATAATGTAATTGTTTCAAGTGGGTTGTAGGATTAGAAAAGCGCGTATCGAATGTAAAAGCGCTAAGCAGCTGTAAACTAAATGACGTACCACCCTCATTTCATGACTTGGCGGATAAAAAGATGCTTGTTGGATGTTTTTTGATGATTGACCAACGATAATCACGGTTAACTTTAACTAAACCGCAATGACTAGGCGCATATTCAGTCAATGGTGGTGAATTTCTATTAGTGACCGCTACTGATTGATCTTCACATAATACAGGGATTAATATACTCCCCGTTGCGCTAATCGCAAATTATATATCATAAGAGATCACCAAGGAGCCTATACCTTCAATTAATTTGTTTTCTTTCTTCTAATCTGGATTACTGACATTCCTATCGATGCTAAGTCTGAAAGTTATGATGGTGTAAGCTTGGGAATTACAAATTATTTTATTTGTTTTAATTTATATTCGACTGGTTCTGTGTATCCATCCGAACCGGTATAATACCGCAAGTTTTATAAATTGCTGTATTTTGGACAAAATGAAGAAACTGTATTTTTTATCTCTCCACAGCTAAATTTTACTTCCATACATACCCATCACACCATCCTATTGAACGAGAAGGTTGGTTTCATACTACACTAAATTATTATTAAAGATTGCAAGTACGTACCTTATATTATAGTGACTGTTGAACGGCGAGGTTATTACATTGTAAATTGATTTCTGAAAATTTGTGAATAAGAGTTACTAACACGGCACTTTGTAGTTTTCGGATTCTACAAGAGGTTCACACATGCACCTTATATTATTTGAAATCGAACATTGTTTTTACTGAATATTTTAAGTCTACGCTAAATTGAGTGCTCAGTGAAGTCAAAATTCTTATTTTTCTTCGTGTCGTATTTTCCGAGGCAGCAAAGGTAAAATGGAAACAAGTTTTGGTATATTGAGGTGCATTGAATTCTGAAGAGGGCACATTGAATTATTAAAAACCTTTCGATGCTCTCATGAAGTTGACTGTAAATTTTCGGAACTTTTAAAAAGCTGGTAGGAGTACTACATTAAATTTCGAAAATGGTACATTAATCATCTGAGGATTTCCGGTCATCTCATAAAATTTGCCCTGATTTCCCAAAAGTGGCAAAGGTACAATGAACAAAGAATTTTGGTAAAAGATACATTCAATTCAGAGATAACTATACACTCAACTGTGTCCAAGACATAGCGTATAAGTCTTTGGTATACACCATGGTTTAAGATAAGGGCGTCTATCATGGGGAAAATGTTGCGCAATTAAACAGTTATCATGAATGAAATGTGTCGATTTATTTTTTTTCTGATGTTATTTGAACAGATACAAAAAACACTTTCACAGATTGCCATTCTTTGAGCTCTACCAGACACCATTGAGAGAAAACGGTTTCAGAGAAATCATCATCAACTTTATATTTTTATACGGCCCGTAAAAAAAATACACATGGATTGAGTAGCATTTTGCATTACGAATACAACGATATACGCTACACAAAAAAAAGTGGGAAACTGTTGGTTTCAACAGGACCCGCACACATCTTACTCGTGCGAGAAAATCTATGGGTCATATTTCCCATCTTCCAGGAAATTTGTCCGATAGGTACCTATTCTCGCACGAATAGGGCGTTGTGCGCGAGTGCACCATCCTGTTGAAACCAACTATTGTTTTTTTTTGTGTGTGCCGTACATCGCTTTATATATAGTATAGCACCTTATGAGCTTTAAGGATCTTGTAGTTTATAAGAGCCAAAAGAGTGTGTAAAAGCCTTGAAAGGCGAAAGTCCATGAAGGCTTTCTAATTTGGGTTAAAATTGAACGCACCTTCTGGAGCTATCCATTGCACTATATACTGCTGTGCAAACAATGTCAGATTGGGGCGTTGATGTTTGGGCATTTGAAATGAATTTTAGCTGTTTTAATTTATTAATTACATGTCTCATCAATCGTTGGGCTGATTTCCGATTTAACATAAAACAATTGTGCAATTCGAGCCTGTGGTCAAGGTCAGACGGCTATTTCAAGTCTTCGTTTGAGTATTCCGCGTCATTACAACCCGTTTCGGGAATATGAAGTATAGGAACACCAAGTTTTTTTGTGTCGCGTCTTGTCAAGTGCATTTGTTTCCGTGAATTTAATCAGTGTTTTGGTGTTTTCGGACTGTAGTTAGATATCTTGACTCAAAAACTGTAAGTAATTTTAAGTTTCTCTTCGCTCTTTGAATATTTGTATTTAAACAATGTGGGTTTTGGTTTTTTGGGACATTGTGGTCCAATTGCATTTTAAAAGGGGTGTATTGGTTGGTTTCATGTGCGTTTGTAAAATAAGTTCTATTTATGTAAAATTACGCAAGTTGTGTGTTCATTCGGACACTTTAACGACGAAAAGAGGAGTCTTATTTATATTATTGCGATTCATTTTAGATTCACGCCCAAAATTCATTTTAAGTATTTGTCAAAATTTGGAGACGAACCGTTTGGAAACTAAGGATTTGAGCTCGGTCACTGTCTGCCATGGAATCGGGAATTCAAGGTGAGAATTAAATCATTCTGCTGTGA